ACAGATAAGGCTTGGCAGCGATCCAGCCTGCCAAGCTCACCATAATGTTCTCCAATATTTATTCCTGCATTGAGTTCTGCAAGAGGGGCGTGTGCACAAGCAGTGCTTTTATAGTCTGGAGAGGAGCCTAATTACCACCAGCTGAGTGCAATTATCTCCTGTACTTGCGCAACTGTTCCTGACGCCGATTAGCTCTTCAGTGCCGGGCATCCAGGAACAACTCACTCCTGACGTCACGATCACACTCCCTTGTCTCCTCCCCACTGGCCCAAGGCTCAGGCGCCTCCTGGTGGCCAATCAGCCTTTCTGCGCCAAGCTCGGAGTTGGAACCATGGGTCCAAGGTCCTCCACATCCTCCAGAGGCGACTCATAGGGCCCCTCGCTGTCGGAGTCTGGTGGCAGCTCCAACGGCTCCTGCTGGGCCACAACAGGTTAGCTTTAAATTTGCTTATTAGCATCTGTAATGTTGCGTGAACCTGGGGAAAAGATGAATTCAGTAATCAAGTGAAGCTTTTAATGCACCCAGTCCTTATTAACCAATCCTGATGTAACGTTTTCATTGTTGAAAAGGCAGAAAATGGGAAAATGCAGCAGGGGCCATTATTTACAGCTCATTCTTTGTCCTTTTTAGGTTCCTTTGCCAGAGTCCTCAGTTAGTTCCCTGGAGCCTGAGGGGAGGCAGAGGCTGCACTACCCCCCTGGAGGTCAGTTGGAAGGGGGGGGTGAGGAATTGGTTGGTCAGGGAAGGAATTGCAGGCAGTCCTCAACTTACGACCGCAACTGGCCCCCACATTCCTGTCGCTTAACGAGAGGTTTGTTAAATGCATTTTGCCCCCATTTTACAACCTTTTTCGCCAGATTGGTTAAATGAATCCCCGTGGTTCACTTAACACCGTCGTTAAGTGAGCTTGGCTTCCCCATTTACTTTGCTTGTCATAAGGTCGCAAGAGGGGATCGCATGACCCCAGGACACTGCAACGGTCATAAGTATGAACCCAAGTGCCTGAATTTCGATCACACGGTCGGGATACTGCAAAGGTTGTAACTCTGAAAAATGCTCCTAACTCCCTTTTTTCAGTGCCGTTGTAACTTTGAATGGTCGCTAAATGAACTGTTGTAAGTCGAGGGCTACCTGTACACAAAACTCAGTAGCTTTGTTTTTCAACTTGGGTTGTTTGTTTTCCTTGCGGATCTGCCTGTTGGTGGATTTATGCCCAGACCACAAACACGTTGTGCACAAAATATGTCTATACCAATTGACTGAAAAGAAAATAATCCCGATGAGCAAATCCATTGTGGTCTTTTTGCTGAAAATTGGGGGGTGGGATTGCCAATTTATGGATTTGCTAATTAACCTACTACTAGATAAAGTAGAAGAATGTGGGTTAGACAGCATCACCACCAGATAGATTCGTAACTGGCTGACCAACCACACTCAACGTGTAGCCCTCAATGGAACTGCATCTTCATGGA